TGTCAAGTGGGTTTTGTATACGTTTCTACTTTACTAGAATTGAAATTGAGAGTTGTCTAGAAATATCTTAGTTTTTCTTTAGAACTTAATGTAATCATAACCATACATATTACCAACTTCATGTATTAATGTGTAACGTTAAACTTAATACGAGCACAAATTCTCTAATTATATTGGTAATTATCATCTATTGAATCAATTCAAATTTTTAACATGCTTAGCCGATGTTCAATACATATTAAATAATTAATAAAGTAGAGATTTATATATATGTACCAGTTTATTAGTGTAAACGAACTGTGGTTAAGAGAATTAGAACAATGAAGTCTTTCTGAAATAGTTTCAACTTATCTACTTCGAATGGGAAGTAGGGATTATGTAAAGCACTATTTTAGCTATACATAGGTTTTAGAACTGCAAGTAGTTGAATCAAGGACATTTGAATATTTTTCATTTATTTAATGCCCCCACTGATCACTGCTGAACACATTTTTTTTTAATTATGACGAATTTTTGTTATCTTTTTGAATAATAAATGCGATTAAGATATATAAACTTACATAATGTGGGAAGCTCTTGTATAGCGGATTTCAAGTCACGGTTTTGTTTTGGAATATTTGGGCTTCCCTCAAGTTTAAATACTTATTATAAAAAAAGAAAATAGAAAAAATATTGTATTGCTCTTTTCTTTTTGTATTGCTAATTGGGTCAAGCAACACTAATTACATTTAAAAGTAGAATATAGTGGTGTCAATATTTTGTTTTTGCCAAAATCGATAACTTGATATACAACTTTAAAGAATGATTATTAATCGGTCAACTAATTTGAAAACTCAAAAATATCGCTAAACAACTTAAGAAAACTTGTTGAAAAGCTCGCTTTGAAAAATGCGAATATCTCTGTCCAATATTAAGCTTCTTAACGGTCTCAATTACTTTAAAAATGAAGTAGACGCTACAGTGTTAATGTAGTACAGTGTAATGGCGCAATATATCCTCAGCACACTATAGACGAAATTTAATTGCATAGCCAACTCTGACTTTCAGTCCGTCGAGACTTGGATCCTTTTAAAAATCACAGTAGAAGCTTGAACCAAAAGCAACATATACATGAGTGTTTAATGGTGCGACAAATTTCATACAGCAGCGTATTATATGTCAGGATAAATATCCTCAGACATGGTCTCTGAGATACGGCCAGAGCCAACTAAGTGAAGCGGTTCAAGAAGAATAGAACCCAGATAAATTTATAAACGCTGATTTATTGCCGCTTGTATCGTCTGCACTGTAAATCGCAAATAAAATTTATTCCAAGAATACGTTCTCAGACACATTTTTATATCGTTTTTGTTTACAAAATCTCTGGCATGCTCGACGGAAAAATCCTCATTTGAATATATCTCGAGTCATTCGTTCTTGACGGATTAGATTTTAGAGCGTACGTACATTCAAGGAGGTCAATCAGCGCTTTATCCTTATATCTGCAACGACGTATTCCAAACACGAATGGGGTCGTAGAAATACAAAACTAAATCTAAACTCTGCACTACCGACTTTACTCAAATACATTTTATCAAAATATATCGTCATGGCATGAGTTGCTTTTGTTAGGCGGACGCCGGGCCAGGTCCATCAATAATTTATCGACTTTTGTTTTATTTTCTGACAAGTTGTATGGCAATATTTTTCAAATAAAACTTTCAAATATAAATGGCCCGTGTGCGTATATATCTGGTTGCGTTGTATCTGCCGAAGTCATCCTATCGAAAAATGCACGGTTTATTGTACAGGAAATATTTTCGAACACTTTCAAAATTTATCTAGCGTAATATTTAAATCACTCTTGTTGTAGATTTAGGTTTGTTCACGGCGAATTTTACATATTTACAGGGAATGGTATTTACTGTCACATTTCTAGATCTATAAATGGTAAGGAGCTTAATGGGTCTTCCTTTATACGCACGAGATTTTAATAAGTTGATAATCTCAGGAAGGTTGGTTCGGGCGCAGTATGGTACGCAAATGAGCTGAAGGAATTTTAAATTAACTAAGGCAAGGTGAAGTAGATTCAACTATTTAAGGTTGGCTGTACAGGATATCGTGATATCGACGTCCTTTATACTGGAATTAAAAACATAAATATTTATTTTAGAAAAAATCTTCATTTTTTTATTTTTATTAATCTTGAAAGCCGAATTGTTTATTGCTAACGAACAAAAATAGATATCCTTGTGTTGTGAACCCTAACATCAATGAGTTTCCACCTACATTTTTTTAACTGGAAAAATAATGTTTAGTATTTTTCTAAAGAAAATAGCTCATAAAAATTTGTATAGTTTTTTCTATGTTGTTTACGACTTTGGATCTCATTGAATAAAATACCAAGTTTTCTTTTGTCGTAAAAGTAATATTTGATCATTTTTTATTCAAATACTGTTTGTTTATTCTGAAAGTAAATAGTTTTTCTTACTCCTAAGAGGAACTTTCTGAATATCATTACTTTTGACCTTCGTTTTTGAAACAAAAAACAAAACAGTGTTTTTAATGTCGCACTGTTTTGTTTTGATCTAAATTAAACTTTATTTTGCTACCTTTCGTGATGACGCAAATAACATAACCATTGGATTTTCCTAATAGCTAACTACATTATAAACGCATTTCATTACAGATCGAGTTACAATATTATTTTTTAATAGAACAGGTGTAGTTTATGTTTTCAAGATTGGTAGTCATTACAAATGTCAAATAAATGAAATACACGGCAAAAGAACGAAGTGACATTTTTAATTAGAATTCAGGTAAAGTGATTCATAATATTTTCTGAAAATTACTTTCAACTCCCGCCGTGATTCATCTAACTGCACCTGTGCTATAGAGCTCTGGAGTATCCAGATAAGTGGAGCTTTAGCACTGCTGGATCCAAACATATCGGGTGTTATTTTAGGCAGTTTCATGTATTTCAGCGTGCGTAAAATTTTCTTCAGATTCACACATTTAATAATGGCTTACAACTGACATTTGTCATACCAACCACTACAAAATTGTCGAAAATTTTAAAACTTCCAATTTTTACTTTAAAATGGAAAAAAAGGTGTGAAGTAGAATAGTTCCATAAGATGATGTGGAGTTTTCATCCCTTAGAAATTTCAATTCAATTCAATTTTGAAACATTTTTTGTAATCCAGGCTCAAGTGGAATCGGTATTATGGGTTGCCTATTTTAAAAACACAAACGAGTCATCTTCGCTGAATAACTCTGTATTTTTACAAACCAATATCTTAATTATTTCTGGAAATTTTGGAGCGCAGTTTTCATCGCTATTTTGAACTTGCAATACTCTAGACATCGTACCAGATATATTGTCGACTTTTTTTGTTGGAAATGATATACAGTAAAAAGAAGCTTGTTGCAGCTTCTACAAACACAGCGTCTTTTTATTGTTGTATCTCATTTCTCAGAAAAAAAAGTCAACAATGTGTGGTACGATTTTTAAAGTTTTGTAAACTGAAAATGGTGCTAAAAGCCACGTTTTGAAATTTGCATAAATAATAATTGAGTTAGTCGTTTTTACACGTGACGCTAACATTTTATTAAAATAAAAAAAAAATCAAACACTTATTAGAAAATAAAAGTAAATACACACACAATGTATGAATTATTCCGTCATAAAAATAAAACATAAATTTGAAACGTAATGTCATAAAAATTATATTAGAATACATAAGACATCTATACTATTACTATACGTACTAATTGCATGAAAAATATTGATGGTTTCTAAAACTAATAGATACAATAAAAGTTTTATGAATAATGAATGATGTTTTATCGACGTTTCATACCGTTCAGAATAATTGTAAAATATCTGACATCGGTTTACCGTCTGTGTGTCCTCTGTGCTTGGTTTGTCGCCTATTCACGAATTTCTTAGATAAATAATCTCCGAAACTACCTTTGAGATTGTGAAATTTGATATACATTTTTAGGTTATCGTGGACACGGTAAAACTTTAACCTAAATTTGTGTGTTCATCCCTATCAAGAATGTGATGATGTCATCTCAAAATTTTGCAAAATAATTCACATTTAAAATGTAAAAAAAATATGCTTCTCTGCGTGTAATTGATTAATCTGGCTTTATATTTAATCGTACGCATATATACTTTTCTGGAAAAAAATTAAACATTGTACAACAGAATTCTAACATTTATCTTTGAAACTACAAAACCGGTGCCTTTGATGAAATTTTATTTATTCACTTATTCCAACAATATTGTAAAATTAATCATATTTGAAGTATTCAAAATATCACGATCATCCAGAATCCAGAATCTTGTCCGCCCTCATTTTATTTTAACTTACGGGGTTATCATAGAAAAAAAATTAAATTCCAAGAATCGAACCTGTACCTATATTTTAATTTAAAAACTGGACTTATTTCATTCACTAGAGGAAATTTTTATAAATTGTGTAACGTTTTGTCTCTTCAAAAATAAAAAAAAATTAAAATGCTGTTCCATCCCATTTACTCAAAAACTCGGAAGATTTTGGATATTTTGTGTGGTAGTTTTATATGTTACTGTTTGATGAATGTGGAACAGATGAAGTCTTCTCCCATCAGTGCCCGAAAATGCAGTTGTTTTGTTCCATTAATGATGGCCAGCCATTCATCTCTCCATTAATCATAGTTTGGTTATCATAAATATTATTTGGAAACACATCCCATGACGTGCTAAGTTATCGGCGTCCAGTCAACAAAACCGCGCAGGATAGAAGCGTTTGAAGTCGAAAAGTCATGCAGCGCGTTGTGCAACCGATCAGAGCTAGCTATTCATCCGATATGTTTATTTAAAATGCAAGCGCTTCTATCCTGTTTTTTTCTGATCGTTTCGTAACGTTCGGGTCAACTTTCTCGAAAGCTTGAGGCTTGTACGTCGATTAAAAATAGCTGAATGTGTGTTTTTTTGAATTGGCCTTACTAAATGACTGAAATTATTGCAGAGTCCTGACACGGCAATGCCTCAGGCCTTCGTTGACCAGGAAGTTGGCGCCAACCTCTACCGGATTCATCGACTAAATCGGACCACAATGTGAGAACACTACTACATACGTACTACGCCAAAATGGACCCGTCATGTGACATGTGTATACTTTTAGTGGTTAGTGTAAAAATTATTTATAATCCAAAGTAATTAATGTTAACAGTGACGAGATATTTTTCGAACTGTACTTTTGTTTTATAAAACTATTGTAAAGAAACATGTGCGAATGATTACTTATATACGTAATTGGGTTTATGTGCCATAATTCAGAAAAAGTTAACGATATACGTAAATTATAATCCTAGTAGATGTAAGAACTAAATTATGAGGAAATATAAGTAAGTGACTGAGTATTTTTTCTATTAGTGAAGATTTTTATTCTGTACATATTGTTCAGTAGTGGTCCCACAAGATCACAAAAATGTGTATTAATAAAAATTGTTCAAAACCAGTCGAAACTGTTTTTGTGGTCTTGGAACCTGTTTGTCGAATGTCCACTTGCAATTCTTCATGGATCTCTTAATTTTGTTATTTTACATTATAAATATAGGCATAATTGTGTAAACTGTAAGGGAATTTTCGAATGGCTGCTGCAGTTTATCGATGTTGTCGAATACTATGCTGAAAACGCCCAGCCACATTGGAAAATTGCGACCTGTAAATATAGAACTCTGTTTGCTATTTTTCTAGAGCACCGCTTGTACTAATTTAAATTTTGTTTCCTGTATATGCTGTAAATAACAAAAATTAAAACCTCTTTAAGAATTTATGCATCTGTGCGTATCGTACCTAAAATAGCTTAAGAAAATATACATTTTATATTTTAAGATGTATGACTTTAGTTTAATTGTTTGAAACGAAAGTACAAGAAATGTATACGTAAATGTACTAATTACGCAGAGGAACTCTGTACCTTGCAAACCAGTGTGTTTGGGCTGAAGCTACATCTTCGTAATCCTAAAACTTTGTACATAAGCTGTAAAATTTTCATAGGGTAAGGATAAAATGTATACTGTTCATCTAGAGTATTGTTTGTTTTTCTTTCTCGTTTTTTATCGACATTTTGTTGCTTATTTGTTGCTCAAGATTTAATTTTTCATGTAATATACGCTCCCTATCTTCTCTGTCGTCTATGTGTGACTGTAATTTATTTTAATAAAAGTCATGTTCTAAACTTCTCTTTTATTTTTATAACCAACCGGCGACCGACACTTACAAATTGTTACAAAACACCTGAAACATAAACTGTTATGTCTACGTAAACACCGCACACCTAGAAAGTTGAACAGAGATGATTCCCACCTCTTGTGCTCACACATTTAATTTTACGTAGTTTTAGTACAAGTTAGTTTAAGTCACAACTACAAATTGCACTATCGATTCTTAAAAACCAATTTATTATGCTTACTTTTCAACACCCACCTTCACTCCTAAATTAACCACGAAAGAGTATTAATTTTAAATACAACACTTAGGTACACATTTTGAGAAACGATAATTGCGTATATCACAATCGATCGTCCAATTAAAAAAGTCATCAAGTGGACCTTAATTTTTGTGAACCTTGTCTGTGATTAACATAAAATTTAATCGATGATAACTGACAATGAGGAAATAGTGTACCTAACCGTCACTTCTTCATGCAATAAAATTAACATTTTTTAACGTTTTCTGTCAAACTGAATACATAACAGTGTGAATTAGTAAATACGTGGGTTTTTGTCAACTTGATGACTTTTTCAATTGATTAGATTGTTATCAGATTATCACATTTATCGAAGCAAAAAATTATTTTAGTTAGCACTGGTTGCAAAAAAAAATATTGAAATTTATGCTAACAATAATGATGTTATGGCACTTCAGAACATAATGTTACATTTGCAATAATTGTTTTAAATAATCATTGATAGCTTGTCATATTTTTTATCCCCGGTGGCACATGTGGGTTGACCAAACAAAATTAAGCTCTCGACGAGCCATGGAACAAAGTTACTGCATTAACATTACGATACTAGACTGTAAATACTAAACCAATTATTGTCGCTGTAACAAACTTAATTACAATGATTGAGGTTTCTGTTGGAATTATATATAATCATTAGATTTCTAAAATGTTGGAAGATTATTAAATATAAAGCAGGATACAGTAGGGTTTTTCCACAGTATCCAGAATCTACTGATTTATTGATTCCACCGGAAATATGCGGTTAAATTTAAATTCGATTTATCCTCATAGTCTGAAAAAGATCAACCAAAAGATTTAATGAATGAAAAATCTTGAAAAATTATTAACTGGGTGTCTATTAACAGAAAACCATTTTGTCCACTGGTCCGTCGATATTAGAATTGTTTGATTAATTTATTTATTATAAAATCATTTTGTTAAAAGAAAAAATGAAGAACGTAACTAGATATTTAAAAACAAAAATTACCCTTATCCATCTTTCGTTAAATCCTAAATTTTCAAGTAATTCTAAAATGTTTTAAAATATTTTTTTTTAACAGGTTTATATTTATTTTCAATGTAATACCTCTTGAGGCGATTGATCGTTTAGTAAACTTTCAAATTTAAAAATCAATGAAAAAAAAAATGAATCGGCTGAAACTGTAGGTAAGGCATTAATGTCAAAAAAAAACTGTAGAGTGGAAGTAAAATAAGCAAAGATGTACCTTAACCAAATATAAAGTAGAAACTAAAACGTGATACTGGCTTGAGGGAAGGCATATAGTTAAAATGTAATACAAAGTATAAATGATTAGTGTGAAAAACTAAAAAAAAGTATTTAAAAAAAATGGTGTAGGTACAGTCGAATAAATAAAAGTTATAAAATTTAATTTTACAAAATTTGTTTAAATTTTTATGATAACCTCTTTAAGTTAAAGTAAAAAAGTGTGTGTCCTGTTAAAATGCAGGCAAAGAAGCAAACTATGCGTATATTTCAAATGAGTTCGTCCATTACAAAATTTTGTGATAACGCCATCAACATTTTAACAAGACAAGCGTATCAATTTGAATAGGCGCAGTATAATTGTAATAATAACAGTACCTACTCTATTTTCAAATTGTCGGGAAAATGGGGTGAACCATCCTTGATTTAATCAAGAAAAAAAAGTTGGAGATACGGGCAGTGGTGTAGCTAACTTCAACTGCGTCCCCCCGCATTTATAATAAGCGCCCCCATACACCAAATTTAAAAAATAATCTTAAATATGTACTTACTCGTTTGCACATTTTAAGAAAATATATCGGTTACGTTACGGTCTGCGCCCCTTTTGGCGCTGCGGGGTCTGCGGGGGTGCTATTTACGCCACTGGAGACGGGGGCTCTACTACAGCCACAGCCCACATTTCACATTGCTTTGTAAAATATATCTAAAGAACAGTTTCACTATTAGAAGGATTAAGTACAGAAGTATACCTTATTTCATAAAATTTGAATAGGATTTACCATTCAAAATTTGGAGGTGACGTTATCAGACAAATTTTGGTTAACGTTTTATCATTTATACGATATTCCTAACATACATATAAAATTTCACAAGAATTAGTCCAGCAGTTTCGGGGATTACCTGCCTAATCAAATATCAATGCAGACTACAAACGACAAACAAACGGCAACACTAGATCTATTTTTTTAGATTTTAGGGATCATGAAAGTAATTATTCGCCGGGTTACAATAATATTGCTTCAGCGTACGTTCGTGTGGATGCGGAATATAATAAAAGACATAACCATATGAACGTGCACATAAAACACACAAAAATAAACATTAGTAAAAACAATATTTTAAAAATGGTTGAATGTAGACCAAAGTATAATTTGACGGAAAAAATGAAGGGATGTGATTGGTTATATAACCAATATAATACCTATACAAGCAAATTCCAGGGTAAATAAAATATTTTTTTTATAATTGTGTTGTAAGTTGTACCATATAAAATCAACAAGGGGAGATCAAATTTTGCAAAAATTTATAATGAGAATCGATTAAAAGCAGTTCATTTCTCGGAGTGTACGTTTGCGAAGTGTCGTGTGACTGGAGCTACTTTTATGGAAGTATGTTACGGGCATAATAATTCTAAACAAGAACAGGAAAATGCAGCACTTTCCAAATTTCCTCTGTTTGTGAAGTAGCCAGGAAAGCAATCAGCTTCAGTAAATAATAATTTTCAGCGAGGTGCATGCTGAAGCCGAACATATATTAGAGCTGCAATGAATCAGAGTTTCAGTTAAATCCACCTTGATGAATGTTTTTGGCTTCATGCCTGTATAAATCCTCAATGCATACCAATGAAGTACGCTCTATTCCGATTTAAGTAGCGACACATAAATATCCTTTTTCTCTTTCTAGCCACCACTGTACGATATAAGAATCACAAAAGGCGAGAAAGGCATCAACCGATATTTCCACTTCTTATATATAAGGACATTCTTCAGCGCTTTCTATTCTCTAGGAGATTTTAATTTGTGAAACATTTGCTTTAATTTTCCGAGATAGCGTTTCGTCTAATGGTGTCCATATTTTCAGCAGCAAGTGTGACAACAAAGGCCCAAAAATGTGTTCTTGTTTCGCGAAACGCATGAGCATGCATGCAACACCTGGTAACGCCATCCCTCATCGCTGTCAGGCGGCTGATTGCCTCATACCGCAAATCTACCCTACACAGAGGGGATGCTTCCACCCGCTCTCATCCTGCAGGGGCAGACCGGACTAAATTCGTATACGTTCATTTCACAGTTTAATCCTTGTGGATTATTACAACCTGCATGCAATTTGATAGAGTGTTGTGCGGTTTCTTGCGTAGAAATGGATGACCCCACATATCATAATGACCAGAGGTGCGCTGCTGTAGAAGCGGATGCTGTAAAATGTTGTTTATTGGAAGGTTGATGATTTATTTCTGGTTTTATTGTATTTTATTTGGGACGAGTTTAATAATTAATGTGTATTGTTTTGTTTTCTATTTAGCGCGATCGGTTGCTGAATTTGGAGATTTGAATAATTGCAGGCAGAATCCGAATTTTTGTAAACTATGTTGTGCATACATAATTGACCCTTGTGCTTTGTATTTACGAGCGTTTATTTTAGTGGGTACTATGGTTACTGAGAAGCCACATATATATTTTCAGAATTTTTTTCTTATGTGAAAGTCAAAATTTTAGGGAAGTACTTAAATTTTAGATAAGATTTTAATTGAAAATTATAACAAAAACTGTAGCAGCAGCAATCAACGAGTGTATTTGTGTTGTAACTTGAAAAAACAAAACTACTTGTATTATAAGTTTACATTTGCCTTTTACTTTCCCAAGTGTTTGGTCTTACTGCTGTGTTCAAAAACAGGAAAGTGTTACGCTCCGGAATTTTTAAAATCAGTTATAAAAGCTGATTTAAATATATCGAACAATTAAAATTCAAGGAGCACATGTTTGTTGTAAACTTAGCTCCATCTTAACATAACATAACGACAGAAGGGCGCATATTTACACTACTACTGGTGCTGTTCCGTGCTCCGATTTACTCGGTTTAGTAGAGCGTAGACGAGGGGACGTAGTGATAATGTGACTCGATCTTGAAATGTGTGGCAATTAGTAACTTTTATGAAATAGAAATATATCTGTGTCCTTGTTATGCTCCGTCTTTTCGACAGCAGGTATTTTTTGCTTCCAGTATGGCGATCCTGTTACTGTCAATTGGCCGTCAATTGCCTTGGTGGTAACACGTCTTCCACGACTGTTTGCTGGTTACCGGTGACACTTTCTCGTTGAATAGGGCTGGAGTTACTTTGGGACTGGAATAGTGTTCTTTCCGGTCCGTTAACTCAATAATTCTAGTACAGTCTGTCGTAACCTCAAATCGTAAACACATCAAACTTTCGTTGACAGATAGCGAAAATTACTAGCCTCGCGCTATCTTTGTTTAACACATAGGTTAGGTTCCTCTCTGTCGAATTCCGACCACAGGCAGTTTGCCGTACTTTCTAAAAGTAATAGTAGATCTAGTGACTTTACGTAGTGAGGAATACTAGGTAAATATATGGGTTGGATACTCAGGCAATATGGAAGGTTAATTGTGAAATTTGGTGATAATGTTAATCTAATTAGTAAAATATGTTGTTATTTTGTGTTAAGCTA